CCGCCCCCGGCGTTTTTATGGCCGCCGGCCGGCGATTAGGAGTGACGTCACCTGCCAACCGCAGGCGACTTAAGTTGTCGTCCAGGCCACGCGCGAGCTTCTCCGGCCGTCCCTGCTCTTCCTCACATCCTGCGGTGAGGAAGTTTTTTTTTTCCCACCCCCCCTATTCCGCCCCCTGCCTCTGGGGCTCCCTCCATGGGCTCAGGAGTCTCCCTGGTCTTTCTCCGCCTGTGACACTGGGCTTGCGGGTGGACTCCAAAGACTACCCCAGCTGACGTCAGAGGATCCCCTTGACTTGCCTGCCATGACTTTGAATGTTAACTCAGTGGAGGGGTTCCCCTTCAAGGCAGCCTCCAGGGTCATCACGCCTCCCAGCAGGCACCCATGGGGCTCCAACCTTCCCTACACCCCTACACCCCGGCCACTCACCACCTTGGGTTGCCAGTCCTCGGGCCCCTTAGGCATTCTTGGCTCTACCCGACCTCTTCCCACGGCCTGCCAGCTACATGCCAGTGTCTTCGGGCCATGTCTTGGTGCACGGATTTTGAAGTCCTCCAACCTTGGGGAGGAAGGAGGACCTGGGCAACTATAGGCCAGTCAGTCTCACCTCCATCCTTGGCAAAATCTTTGAAAAAATTATCAAGGCTCACATTTGTGAGAGCCCGGCAAGACAAATTATGCTGACGGGAAACCAGCACGGGTTCGTAGCAGGCAGATCGTGCCTGACTAATCTAGTCTCTTTTTATGACCAGGTTACAAAACGCCTGGACATAGGAGGAGGGGTGGATGTCATATACTTACACTTCAGGAAGGCCTTCGATACGGTATCCCACCCCATACTGGTGAACAAGTTAAGAGGCTGTGACTTGGATGACTACACAGTCCGGTGGGTGGCGAATTGGCTAGAGGGTCGTACCCAGAGAGTCTTAGTGGATGGGTCGGTATCGACCTGGAAGGGTGTGGGCAGTGGGGTCCCGCAGGGCTCGGTCCTTGGACCGATACTCTTCAACGTCTTCAT